GGGAAAGAAATACAAATATTGGAACAAAAATTCCCAGAAAACCATTTAATTATTAATAATTAACACAGCTACTTTAGCCGTTTCATTGTTGCTGACCTGCCTCCAGCAACATAGAAAATAAGATGCAGAGCAGCTACTAATGAGGTTACCCTGCTTAGTGAAGCTAGAAATCTCAGTCCTTAAAAAAAGTAAACCCTAAAGCAGGCCTGGGCAAAAATGGCTCAAGGGCCAGATCTGGCCTACAGTGGGTCCCTCAGGCCTGCCCGGCCCTGTGGTACATGCAATAGGTCCCACCGCTCCCAGGCATGCAGTTGGGCTAGGGCAGTGTGACAGCCAGACTGTTTCCTGGCAGCCCCAGCAGTGTCTACTTCTGGCTGTTGCTTTTGGATCCAGCCCCACTGCCCAGGAGCAGTGGGAAGTGCTGAACCCATGTGAGCAGGGCACACAGCTGGGCAGCTGGGATGGGGCTGCAGGGGGCTGGGGAGCCGTGATCTGCTGCCCACACATTCCTGCGATGGCTGCTCGTTCTGCAGGCAGAGGCGTGCGTGGAGTGGATTGTGGCTCTGCCCTGGGCCCTAGCCCTATATTGTCACTGGCCCAAAATCTCAGCACTGGCTTCAACCCCCTGCCTGTCCCACTCCCAGAGGCAGCTCCCCACCCGCAGGCCCATCCAGTTCTCCTAGCCACGAGCCCTGCCCCTGTAAGTCCCAGCTGATCTCCACAGAGACCCCAGGATCACTGGGCAGTGACAGCACAGGGATGGGGCATAGCTGCAATCTGCTCCCTGCATGCCCCTGCCTGTGGAATTGGCACCCATCGCAGGGGCATGAGGGGAGTGGATCATGGCTCTACCCCAGCCCCTAGCCCTGTACTGTCATCAATGTGATCCCAGTCCCAGCCCCAGACCTGGCCACATCCCAGATGCTGCTCCCTCCCAACCACAACCCTAGCCTAGCCGCCCGGCTGCATGCAGGAGCCTCTTAGGATGTTTTGGTGAGTTGCTGGGAGGGGATGGGGCAGGAGGTGGTGACCTAGTCCTGACAGCTCACAAACTCCCTAAGTGGCCCTCCAGCCAAAATAATTGCCCTCCCCTGCCCTAAAGCCTAGCAAAGTCCATGTCCACAGACTGAAATACCCAGAGAATAGCTGCCTGCTCCAAATGATGCATGCAGCCAAGCTATGCTTATCTTTGCCATGTCTGGCCACAGACAAGGAAGAGGAGCAGTCAATTCCAACTTGCATGTGTTCACTATCACTGACCACTTTGCCTGCATCTGCATACCTGAAAAGTTGGAAGAATCATTTTCAGGTTGATGCAAACGTCAGTACTACTCAAAAGTAACTTTAAAAATGTTCTCTTAATCCTAGGACCTGCTTCCCTGTGAGAATTCAGACCCACAACCACTGACTTCTTAGCCCTCATAGCCCTGCTGTACCAACACACAGCAATAGCAGAGGAGCTGGATTTCACTCTGTAGTCTGCAGTTGTTAGCTAAGTTCCAATCAGTTGCATTAGATCACACTGATGGAAACCTAAGGCACATGTGTGACAGGGGGCAGAATCTGGCCTGTAGAAACATTTATTACAGCTGATATACAAGAGGAAACTGAGCTGGACTCTCAGATCCTTAGTTTGCAAGGTTGACAATGAGAAAAATGCTTTCTACTTGCTAATAAAACACAGTTGACTGAGTAACTGAGACAAAATTAGGGGTGCACCAATAAAGATTTTTTTGACCGATACCGATGGCCAATTATTAACCAGCTATAATCGGCTGATATCTATCTGATAGCCGATATGCAGGCCAGCAGCTTGGAAAGTAGCATCTGGTGATAAGCCTGTGCAGGGGGGAAGAGATGGGGGGAGGGAAGGGGTGTGGGAGGGGCAGATTGAGGCTCCCATGGTGAGCAAGGGAATGGGGCTGGGGCAGAGGCTGTCTGGGTGGGGCGGGGTGTGGGACAGAGCCAAAGGTGATTGTCTGCGGGGGTGGGGGAGACGATGGACGGATGACACGGGACGGGACACGGACGGACAGATGGATGGGACAGAACTCTCCACCACTGTGCACATCCCCAGGGGAGGCATGGGGGGCATGTGCCCCCCTGATGTGTGTGGGGGGTGACAGCAGGCTGTGGGCTTGGGGCCAGGGGCTGTGCCAGCCTCTTCCCAGCAAGGGGGCTGGGCTGGCGCTGCACTCAGAAAGGCAGGGGTAGGTTGAGCAGCAGCCCCGCCCCAGCCTCAAGCACTGCCCCAGCCCAGCTGCCCCGCTGGGAAAAGGCTGACACAGCCCCTGGCCCCAAGTGGGCAGCCCACCCTTGCCCCACGCACAAATCTGGGGGGCATATGGTGTGGCCAGCCAGCAGGGGTTGCTCTTACATTGATCCACCCACCTCACTGCTCATGACCACCTTCCAGGCTCTGAGTTCCTCACACCTAGCCAACCCCCTTCCTAGAGCACACCCGCTAGCCTGGGGCTAACGCAACCACCACCCAGGGTCTGGACTGATCCTGGCCCTGTGCCCCCTGGGAAACACAGGCCTAGTAATCCTTAAGGGTACTTGACCCGCTGCAAGAACTTGGGGTGCTCCCCTCAGTCTGAAGCACAAATAGCGGTCTCCCTTAGTTAGCCAAACCAAGGGGACCCCAAGGCATAATCTAGACCCTCTCCCAATAAGTCTCCCATGTTAGGTAAAAAGAAGAACTTTATTGTTTACAAGGAGTAGGTTTGGAATAGGGTACAGGGTAGAGCAATATCAGAGAAATCCCATAGAGCAAACAGGATGGCTGGGTAGCCTTTAATCGCGCATCTGAGTTACTGCAAGCGATATATCTAGTTAGATCTCCGGTAGCTCACTCACAAGTATCTCCACCTGCCTCTAGATTATTCCCATTGGAGGGAGGCAGTTCACTGATCTTGTGTTTCCAGAGAGAGAGCAAGTTTCAGATGGTCCAGCTTCTCTCTGAGTTTTTCCATCATGGCTACCACCCCTTCTCCTGGGCAGTTTTTAACCTTATGACCTCATTTACCTGGTCCAATGGAGGCCAGTACCTGTTGGCTGCCAGCCAACCAATTTGAAATGCATCACTAGCAGCTGGGTAGACTGGCAGAGTCCTTAGCCCCCTCCCAGTCAGGTTGGCACTGCTTAGAACAATAGGGGGCTTAA